CCTGCAAAGCAGAGCAGGACACTTGTCCCTGCACAGCCCCAAATCTGCAAATTCCCTTCCACCAGAAACGCTGGGATGTGCAGGGGTTTCTCTGAGCTGCTGCTTCACCACTGCAGGCAGGGTTCTATCTCAGTGCTCCTAATGCATCCCTCTTAAAGACATTATTTACCGTTTTACTGGTGGCTTTTCCTGTTTTTATCATTATTATTATTATTATTATTATTATTATTGCTGTTATTAACATTATTATTATAATTAAATAATAATTTTAACTCTGGATATTCCTTTTTTTTTAATAAGGAGGAGCAGTGGTTTCTGCCTCCTGCTTCCTTTAGGTGGAGCGAGTGGTCCAGCTCAGGGTTTGTTTCCTTCCCAGTTCTGAAATGACTGAGTATGTGAAATACGGTTGGGATTTGTCACCAGTAGTTAGGGGCTACCCGGCTGATTTTGGCCTCGCTGAGTGAGTGCACACGCGATCTGTGCATATGCTTTCCAAATGCCTTCATAAATCAAGTTGGGGATGGTATCAAAACCAGGAAGGCCCTTCTTGCATTGTTTCATGTTAAGGAAATCCAATTGCAAGTGGAAAGGTCCATCTGTTTGTGAGAATAATAGAGTATTTTTGGCTTGAAGGGGGAGTTGTTTATAGCTAATGTAAAAATTAAAAAAAACCAAACCAACCCTTTATTTAGTTATCTTGAACTTTCCAAACCCCTGAAAAACTGTCATATTTTATCTTAATAAAACTGATTTCCAGACATCAAAAGGCTCAAAAGTACATTAGACTCCAAGTAATGCTCTTTAAAAAAGAAATGTTGCATTGCTAAAGGTTCAAAATTGTAAAATCAGAAAATGAAAGAGAACTCAGAGAAAATTAACTCTAAATTGTCCCTCCTACTCCCCTTAGCCATGCCTGCCCGGGGACCTGGACAGCTGTGCTGTGGCCCTGGAGCCAGTAGTGAAGTGTGGAAAGATGCCTTCAGGCACAGCAAACAGTGATGGAGGGGCTGAAATTAAATACAGCGTCTGCTTTGCAGATAATTTTTACTTAGAAAGGGACTAATAACTGAAGATAATACAGCAGAAAGGCCAACAGAGTGAGAATGGGCCTTGCTAAAAGGCAGAGCAATGTGTTTGTTTACAAAGCCACCAGCCAGTTTCTGTTAACTCCCTGGAAGTGAAAACTAAGCTGGCGTAAAGCTTCAGTGGAAATAGGATTTGCCCCAGAGAAGTACCTAAAAATAAATTTGAGTTCTGTATAGAGAAGACACTCTGAAGCTGGTTATACAAATGCTTTACTGGTGTTGGGAAAAGGACTCCTGCAGCAGAAAACAATGTTTATTAATAAAGCCAGAGCACTTATTTTATTTTTAACTACGTCATTAACAGGGGGAGTATCCTTTGCAGCCAGCCACTGCCGGTGGCTCAGGACCCCACATGCTGCCATGCAAGGTCTCTGTCTCTTCTCCTCTTGTCCTCCCACGGGAAGAACATGTGGAGGCTGGCTCTGTGCCTGGCCGATGCTGAGCCACCATCCCACCGTGCTGGGCCACAGTGACGTGTTTTTGTTCCTTGTAACTGGGCCTTCAGGGTGAAAAATGTCTTCATTAAAAGCAAAAAGAGAGTCGGTGCCTTGCACACAGCAGCTCTCAAAGCTCCTTTCACCAGGAAAGAGGGTTTTGCCTGGCGCAGGCCACCCACACACACCTCAGCTCATCAGGGCACCCTGTTAATTGTCCTCGTTAGGAGGAGTAAGAGCTGTTCCCTCATGAGAGAGCTGTGTGGGTCAGGCCTGCTCTCAGGAGGGAGCAAAGCGAGATGTCCAAGCAGCAGTGGCACAGCGGCGCGGGCAGGGAGCTGCTCTGTGGCCTGAGCTGCAGCTCAGCCCCTGCCAACGAGCAACGCTGGCTCCTTCCTGAAGAAAAAGCACGGCCAGAAACTCTGCCATGTGTGCCACTCTCTTATGCACTAGAGAGAGAATTTGTTTGGCTGCCACAACGTTTGACTGAGTGGTAGAACCTTTCCCTGTCTTTTCACAAGTCTGTAAAGACCATGAGTGCCAGAAAGCCTTTTATTTTTCCCCTGAAGAAACGAAAGCTGTGCGACCCAGCAACGCACACTGGAATGTTATTTTTCCCTGCGGATGCTGGAGCCAGCAGCATTTTCACTCTGGGGTCGTTGGTGTCAGTGGCCACCACAGCAGCGAGCAGGCTGCTCCGCGCTCACCGAGCCGTTGGGAGTCGGTGCTGGATGCTGAGCTGGAGCCCAGGACGGCTCAGCCCTTCCCGTCAGCAGCGTGGCCACTGCGTTTCTGTGTGATATTGGATGGGTGCAATGCTGTGCTCCCAAAAAAGTAACCTTCAAAAGCTTTTTCCCAGGGGACCTTACTAAGTAGTTCCCTGAGCAACCCAAAGTCCACTCTCCTCATATCTAGAGTTGAGGTCTCACTGGTACTTTTCCTCCTGTTACCACAGATTTTGAATTTGACTGCTTTGTGGTCGCTCTGGCCAAGGCAGCCACCAATCTCCACCTCACCCACAAGACCCTCTCTGCTGATGAACAACAAGTCGAGGAAGGCCCCTTTCCCGGTCAAACAAGTTGAGGGAGGCACCTTTCCTGGTTGGTTCCCTTAGTGCCTGAACCAAGAAATTGTCATTCAGCTGGTTCAGGAATCCTCTGGACCTGTTTGTACCAGCTGTGTGGTATTCTCAGTTGACATCTGGCAGGTTGAAGTACCCCATAAGGACTAGGGCAGATGACTTAGAAGCATCCTTTAGTTCCTTAAAGAACAGCTCATCAATGTCGTCATGCTGGCTGGGTGGCCTATATAGACTCCCACAATGACATCCGCTTTATTTGTCTGTCCCTAAACCCAGAGGCTCTCCAGTGTGCCATCTCCAACTGAAAGCTCCACGCACTCCGGTCCCTCTGCTACATGCAGTGCCCACCCCACCCCGCCTCGCCTGCCCTGCCTGTCCCTCCTGAAGA